AAAAAAAAAAAAAAAAAAAAAAGTCATCACATCTCAGAAGGATTCAAACCAATTTAATAATATAATGTTAATAGCTAATCTTTCTTTAGAATGTCTTCTACGCCAGACACAGTCTAAGTGATTTACATATATTAATTCGTTCATTCTCACAATCACCCAATAGGCAGGCGCTTGTATTATGATGCCCATTTTACAGACAAGGACACTGAGGCACAGAGAGATTAAGCAACGTACCCGTGTCACTTTACATTAAGAGGTGAAGTCACAATCTGAACCCAAGAAGGCTGGCTCTAAAGACTAGACTAATCACAGACTCCAACTGCCGCTGCTTGTGGAAGGTCAAGAAGGGAGGTGCTGCAAAAGGGGGAGTTCTCAGTACATTTTTTGAGCCAGCATCTTTGCTCCCCACAGTGTCTGGAACCAGTCTTGAACCTCTTATCTGTCAGGGGTTTAGTCAGCCTTTGGGTGTGTGCAGCGGCTCTGAGAGGAAGAGATATACAGTCCCTTGACTGCTGGGAGATTGAGCCTGAGATGTTTGCTGTAAATTAGAGGAATTAGGTCTGCACATTGTTATTCTTGACCTACTTGGTGGAAGTCCGTTTTATCGAGATCTTATTGCAGTTTTGGTATGAGATGACAGCTGGAAGCCAGCGAGTCTGCAATGCGGCCTGCGGTTCCCAAAGTGCTGCATAGGGTTTGTTCAATAAAATCACACAAACTCAGAATTGTTTTATATTTGGTATCCCAAAACATCTTTTTAAAACATGTATTAAGTGTGAGCATTCATTCATTAAACTAGGTCACATGAGCATTGGTTTCTCTGTTTTAAAAATAAGGCTTCGGTCAATTTTAACATCATAATGATGAAATTTTGCAGGATTATTTACTAAAGTCAAACTATTCCTGTAAAATAATTGTCGTTCATTTCATAATTAAGAACTTTCATTCAAAGTGCAATACTGTGCGGTACTTATGATCAACATCACTCAAATTTTAGAGATAGAAATAAAAACCCAAGGATAAGACTGGTTAAGTAATTTGACCAAGTTCACCCAGTTGCGGCTGGGATTGAAACCAGACTTTTGAACTTCAAAGCCAAGGTTATTTTTTCCCCTAATGTCAACTAAAAAAAAGAACATCCTCTATACCAGAGATTAGAGTTGTAAAGCTTTTCTTTTTATAATTGGGACTGGGTTGTTAAAATAAGCTAGTCTATAATTTCTTCTTTGAAAAGAACTAAATCACTTTGGCTTCTCACTACTCAGCCACCATCTAACATAAAAAAGAGTAGCAACTTAAGACAAACTGCAAAAAGGCAAGGACTTCTAATAAATGAATAAAGCAAGAGATTTTACACACCCATACATTTCTACCAACTTAATCAGAAATCTTCCAGTGTCTGCTTGTTTCTCTGGCAAACATCCTTTTGTAGACATCTCAAAACTACTCTCCCTTTTCCAGATCAATCTCATGGAATCCAACCTCATTTAACTGAATTTTTCTTAATTTTGTTACAGTTTTGAAATCTATATGTGTGTATTTACAACTTACTTCTCTGACGTATCCACTGAAAAAAACAAAAAACAAAAGAACAAACAAAACCTTATGTTTTGAGGGTGACAGCTAGCTGCTGGCCTGTGGAGTGTGACATTCAAGTACTTTCTAACTTAGAAGCTATCTTTGAAGATTTCTTCATTTGACTTAGTCAGCTATCACACCAAAATGTAAAATGTCAGTACCCTAATACACTCCAGAGCTGTTCATGTGTGTCCTGGTCAAAAGCCAGGAAATTTGGTCACATTGTCCTGTATGAATTTTAGTGAGTCAGACTCTCATTCAGAAACTCTCAAAATAAGCAAGGGGTGGATTTTTTCCCCCTGATTTCATTAGAGGACATCTGGGTGCCATTTTTATTCTTTTTATTTTTTTCTTGATGAAAATGTTTGCAGGACCTGCAGTGGACGGAGCAGAACTGGAATGGCCCTAGGTGGCCTGGCCGGGGCCTCTGTAGAATGTGCTGCCCCCCGCCACCAGGTCCATTATCTGTGTCACCCTGGGCAAGGTGCTTGTCTCTTGGCCACACTCCAAACTGTAGGCCCACTGAAGGCTCCACTCCTTCCCGCCAAACTCCTTCCTTCTTCACTCAATCCTCCCCTCCAAAAACCAGAAGACCAGTCTGAATGGTTATTATTAAAAACTTTAAAAACAGCAGATATCAGGCGATCCTCCTAACTTAGCCTCCAAAGTAGCTGGGACCAAATGAGCACACCACCATGCCCAGCTAATTTTTGTATTTTTTGTAGAGATGGGGTTTCACCATGTTGCACAGGCTGGTATCAAACATCTGGGCTCAAGGGATTCATCCACATTGACCTCCCAAAGTGCTGGGATTACAGGCCTGAGCCACCGTGCCCAGCCTCAGAAATGTCTATTAAATGAACCAATACAAATGACCAGGGGGTGGATTTTAGGATCCGAGAAATAAAGCTTTTGTATCTGGATCTGAATGAGAGTAGTCTACGTTTTACCATGCTCTTACATCTCTACCCCGAACCTCTGCCTTATTCCTTTTCTCTCATGGGAAGATGAAACCTGAGTCACCCTTGGGAGGTCCCATGGGAACTCCTGGGCCAAGAAGAGATGGAGCATAGAGAGCCAGAAGAAGCTCTGTTGACTGCAGACACAGAGGAAAAAGAAATGGGCTGGTGGCCATGTGAAAAACAGCCAGCAGTCTTAACAGTTTGCACATGTGAAATGACTAAATCATCACTAAAATCCCTTGAAGACTAATAGTTTAAGCCATTATATGACTTATCATATACTAATACACAGACTCTTGCTTTTGCACACAGGTCTGCATTTGTCACCCTTTACCTAGTTCATGTGCATCTCCTTTTGTCCTGAGGTCAGTGTAACCTTATTTTCCCAGCAGCAGAATCAGCTTCTAAAGCTTCAGTGGAAATCTAAAATATACCTGGAAAATTAAAGCATTGGGAGTACCCAAGTCATGGTTAAAGAATAAGAACAAAGTCAGAGAACTTACACAACCTGACCTTAAGACTTAATATAAATCTTAAGATCAATTAAGACAATATAAGTCTTCCTCTTCCACTACAAACCCATAGCCACTACCAATTTGCTTCTGTCTCTGTGGATCTATCTATTTTGAATATTTCCTATAAATGGAATCATACAATAAGTATGAAAACACCACTGTTTTCATTACTGTAGCTTTAATACTTAATATAAGACTTACGATAGTGAAAACAGTCTGGTGTGGGCATAAAGACAGACATATTGATCAAAGGATTAGAAGAGAGAATCCAGAAGTAGACTCAAGAATCTACAGTCAATTGATGTTTGATTGAAGTGCCAACATAAGGTTATGGTGAAAAACACTGCCTTCAACAAAAAATGATGGAAAAATTGCCTGTCTATACAAAAAAGCTCTATCTCACATTATACACAAAAATAAAACAAAAATGGATTATATCGCCTAGCAGAAAATCTTAAACTTGAAGTAGGAACATATTTTTTAAATGGATACAAAGATCACTAATCATGAAAGAAAATAAATCATAGCTTGGACTTCATTAAAATTAGAAACTTCTCTTCTTCAAAGACATCATTAGAATTTGAATAGACTAAGCCACAGAGTCAGACAAAATACTCATAATTTGCACATCAGATGAAAGACATTTATCTATACTTTATAAATAACTGTTACAAGTTCATATGAAAAAGATAAAATAGTCCAATTTTTTAAATGAGGAAAAGATTGAACTGATATTTCACAAAAGGAAATATATCAATGTCAAATAAGCACAGGACAAATGTGTGCAAAGTTACTAGTTATTAGAGAAATGTAAACAATTAAAATCACGATGAGATTCTATTTCATAGCTAATAAAAAGACTGACAATATCAAATTTTGGGAAGGATGTGGTACACCTAGAACTCTTATGCATCACTGATAGGAGTGTGAAATTATACGATGACTTTGGAACACAGTTGGGCAGTTTCTGATTGTATATGCTCCAGAAATTCTTCTCCTGGGGATTTAAATAAAAACTAATGCACACACAAAGACTTGTACACAAATGTTCATAGCAGTTCTATTTATATAGCCAAATACTGGAAACAATACCAGTGACCATCAGCACTTATATGGCTAAACTATTCTATATTCCTACAGTAGAACACTACTCAGCAAAAAAGAAAAAAAGGAACTACTGATTCACAAAATATAAATGAATCTTAGAAACATACTGAATGAAAGAAGAAAGTTTTAAAAGAATGCATGCTATATGGTCCCATTATATAATGTTCCCAAAC